GTAAAGATGCTTAGCCCACTCTTTCACACCATCCCCCCCGCCCCCCCGCAAAAAATTATCAACACATGTTGAATTTTAGGCATAATACAATCTTAAAAGTTGGACTAGAAGTCCAACTTTCTATTTCATGAGAAGGTTCACTTTCTTGCATTTATTTGTGTTACATTTATATAACTTGTATAATAACTGTAAAACACAATCCTGACATTAATACCATTATGAGAAAATAAGTTCTAAATGTATTGACTGTATTTGCATGTGTGATCTTTGTATTTATTATGACTACTTTTACTCCTCTTTCCAAACCCTTCCCAAAACCCAGGGTATAGAAGGGGAGGATGAAGGAGCAATAAGTATGCTTTCTGATAATACAGCTAAGCTAACTTCAGCTGTCAGGTAAGTAATCAATAGTGCATTATTGTTTAATGAACTGGGAACCATTTGTAATTCTTTCTGTCGTTTCACTTTTAATATCCTTTGAAATAAATAGCTTTAAAGGTAGCTCAATTCAGCTCAGTAATAGAGTTTAAATGCTTTATAATTCTGGTAAATTTTAATGCGATGTCCTAGACAAGTACTTGCACATGTAACTTCCCCACCATGTGTGTGTGAGCCATTTACACATGGCTTTGGAGTGTTTCCTCAGCAAAGCTGAATAGTCGATAAGTGCATCATAGATTTGCTTACACTCTTCCACCAGAAAAACCCAACTACCTACCTCTGTATTCCATCCTTAAAAAATTGTTAGTGAAATCCACTTCCTGAAGCATTTGCTTGCTTTGCCCAGTATGTAATTAATTACATTTTGATTAATGTAGTTACTGTAACATCTGTTGGCAAGATTATAGTCCTTAAGAACTCTGCATGGGAAATTTACTTTCCTGCTTTTGGACACCTAGCCACCCTGGATGATACCAAAAATCTGAGATTTAGACTTGTTCCTCATTGTAAATCTGTTGTTCATTCCACTGATGCCGTGGAGAAGGGAGATGTTCAGTTTGCTGCCTTTTGCTAAGACCCCGATCAAAAGGAAGAAGGAACGATAATTATTCTGAGGATAGATGGGGTGTTATGCTCAGTGTCCTGTGAAATCCAGCATGTGTCTGCATTAGTTAGTTGTCTCTTTGTGAGTTTCAAAAGTTGTTTTGTGTGCTATGCCCTGGTTAGAATTTGATTGGAATTACAAAGGATGTGTGATGGATCAGACAGTTTCAAAAAAGCGAGCAGATGTTTCCAAGCTCCCCCTATAAAGTTTTAAAGTTTTGTACTTCTCAAGATGCTGGTTTTCAGGTTAAGACATTAAGGTATGAAAATGACAAGTATCAAAAGCTTTAAACTGATAGCAAAAAAAATAAAATTATATGACTAAAGTTTCATCAGGAAGTTTTACTGTTCAGTTAGCCTCTATGTGACTGTTTTCTGTAATCTGGCATTATTTAGGAAAATCCTGTCCCCCTTCAGAAAAGCGTATAACACAGTAAACGCTCCTATTGCAATGTTTTGGCTCTAATCTTTAGGATTATGCTGAGAAGTCCAAATACTGTTAAGATCTTCCGTTTAGATGGAAGAATTCCAGTGTCTGCTGGAAGAATTAGAGTAGGTTTTGATGTTTTGTTGTCCATCATCTGCTAGCAGGAAGAAGATACCCTTCAGCATTATCTAAGGCTTTACAATTTCTAGAAAACTTTGGAATATCTGTGAGTAATTAAAAACCGGAGGTTCTAACATAGAGGATCTCCTGTCTTTTTTTTTTTTCTTTCCTGTTTTTTTTAAATGCAGTCCTTTACAAAGGCAGTAGTAATCACCTTCCAGCTGTAAGGTCATTAATGGCCAAACATCATAGGTAACATTGATTTTATAATTGCTTAAAGGAGGAAAGAAAGTATGGTTCTTCAGGCCATGCAGTCAATGTCATTAAGTGCCTTCCCATCCACTTATTATTAAACTGAGTAAGACACTGACTGTCCTGGGTGCTTTTGGATATGAAAGTGTATAGACCCTGAGCAGCCTTTCATACATGTGAAGCCCAAGTGGCAGCAGTAAAAATCATGTAGATCACAACACCTTAAGTAACACTTTCCACAAAGTAAACTTAACCATTGTTTCCCATTTCACAAAAGCAAAGGTTACAGTCATGAATCCTGCATAGAGAATTGTGTTCTATGCCAAAGCACCTGTGACAAATTCCAGGACATCCAGAGGTTCTGTGTTTATTTGACAGATATTATTATTATTTGATATTATTTGATACTATTTGACAGATACTGTTATTTGGCAGATATTGACACTTTTATATGTATCAGACGTGAACTAAATGTTGATTATATAAGGCATAATTGTAGTAGATTATTTGTTTAGGTAAGCAGGGCATATATCTGTTGTTGATCACAAGCTTTCAGTAGGAATATTAAATTACCCACATCATGTGTGTTTTTTGCTAGTCAAGGTAAAAACCTGGTTTGCTACATTACATGTGGATAATGTCCTTCTGTTATAAGAATCATTACATCTATACTTTGTAATTTTTTAGTTCCAATCCTACTGTATTGTATAATTTTAGATTTTAATAATCTTTAAAGGTCCCTTTCAACCCAAACTGTTCTGTGATTCTATAAATTTTTTGTACCAACTGTATAAAATACACAATTCAGCTAATTGCAATTTAGCAGGTTAGTTTCTATTTAATCTCTTCAGCTCTCTTCCAGAACTTCTGGAAAAGAAGAGGCTTATTGATCTTCATACAAATGTTGCAACAGCTGTTTTGGAGCATATAAAGGTATGATTGCTGTCCAACTTCAGTTTTCTATCAGTAGTGCTCCTTACCTAGAGAAATATATTTGAGCAGGTGAAGTAAGATACGCAAGTGAGCCTTCTCAATTGTGCTACCTTTTACAGAAATCACTGTATAACATTACTTAGTGTCAAAGGGTGAGAGGGAATGAATTCTGAATGCCGCTGCATGGAAAGCAAAGTAAACATATCAGTTTTTTTCTTATCAGAATTTACTAGTATACTCTCTTTTTTCTTTAATGATGGCCACAACCTTTATTGTGTGTTGAAGTCTTTCTAAAATAAGTTTATGATGGAAGTGTTTCATTTACTCTAGGGATGTGTCATGGCAAGTTATGACTTCAGTCTAAGCAATTTTCTGTTCTGTATGTGTTTATCAGAACTATTTACTGTTCACCAAAGAAAATGATACCCAGGCGTGTGGCAATAATGATGCAAGTTACTAAACTGGTCTTTCCAGCTGTGTTAGATGTCTTGTGCATAACTTAAGCACTTCAGAAGGATGCTTGTCCTCTTTTCTGTTTAAGTCTGTTTAAGTCCGCTCCTCTTGTATCACAGAACTTGCAGATCGTTTCAGTATCAAGTAAAGACCGTGGTTACTACTAGGATAACTTGGAAGACGGATCTGTTTTCACAGTATGAGAACAGAAATTATAGATGAAGCTTTCAGAAACACTGAAATTCTGGTTCTGAAAGTGATTGAAACACCAAGTTCACTGAAAATCAATAGTTAGAAAATTTTACCCCATGCTTTTTATAACTCATGGAAGGTGGTGTTTTTTGAAGCTAACTTTAACATTTGTAAAGTGCATAAGACCTGTCCTTAGTTATTACTGCTACTGAATTTTTTTAAACTAAGTACTATAAATGAACAAAGGATTCATTCTGAATTTTAATCAACAAGTTAATTTCACATATTAATAAAATTGGGGAAGAGGTATAAGCCTGTCTCTATGTTTGGCTCATTACTGTAGGGGCTAGTTTATGTGCTTTGGCAGTATTAGGCCTGTCAATTTTCATATCTGGCAATTAAAAGCAGTACATTAATACCATTGAAAAAAATTAGAAGTCGACAACGTCAATATTTTATTTGATGCCTTGTCTGTAAGTTCACTTTTCTAAGAAAGATACTGAGACAGTAATGGCGGGCCTTCACCAGTATTATTTTATATATTATTTGTTGGACAGAAGCCAGATTTCAGAGCAGGATGTGGAATGGCAATAACATCAGTTTTGATCGCCAGTCTCCTCTTGGCGATGGACTGGAGTCAGATGCACTTGTTCATTCTCCATGAGGTGATAGTGACACGCTTTTCTGTTACCTGGAGGTGGAAGGAGGTACCTTGGGGTCCCTCTGCTGTGGCACTCTGCTCTACTCTACTCTACTCTACTCTACTTAGGCGCTCTCCTCTGGCAGGAGGCCTGCTGTTAGAGAGTTCCCAGGGAGTGGTGATCCATTTCTCCATAAACGATAAGATCTTCATTCTGGTATTGCGAAGTGCTCGGGCTCCTTACCTTCTTATTGTGTAGCTGTCGAAGAAGATTGTCAGACAAATGGGCGTGCAGTTTCTTCAATATATTGATAATAAGTGCATCTGTATCATCTTTCGATTTAGAAAGAATCAGTTCCTTCATCTCCAGGTATTTAGGAAACTTTCTTAAACTAATGCAGAAGCACATGGCTTTTTCTCTTGGAGTTTACCTACACTAAAGCTATTTCACTGAATGAATGTGAAGTTTCTTCCAACTGCTTTGTCCTGTCCATTTTCTCCCCTCTTTTCACTCTCCAGTGTTACAAAAAGTATCTTTCTGTCTCAAGCTGTGGAATTTTAACGTGCAGGATGATATGCTACCTAATGGATTCCTCAAAAATACTCTCAAAAAGGGCAATATCTCTACTTTTTAAAGAAATTCTGATGGCATCTTGAGGCTGTGGTTAATAGGTTTTATATACAGTTAAGTAATTAAACCGGATTAGGATAGGAGAGAATTTTTTTGGCAAGTGCCTGGTCATGAGGAGCTAGTGAGGCACCATGCTCTTCTTCAGGTTACTATATTTCACTTTTAAAATAATCTGGAAGCACATTCATACTTTAAAACAGACTGCATTGTCCATTATGTTTTTCTACTACATTAAGTATTTGAGCATTTTTCTTCACTAGATAAATGAGAATCAGTGCAAAGAATGCTGCAAGACCTGCTTTAGATATACTAAGTGAATTTAATTTTTCCTGTGGTCATAGTTTAGTGTTCAGTTTACAGCTGCTTTCCACATTCTCTTGGATCACTTTCTAAGACACAGCAAGAGGAAACCAGAAATTAATCACATACTCAGGGGTCCTGGCAGTTTTCTGGCATATCTAAGTGTTTAGTGAAATAATGGAAAGAATGCATCACTTTTTTCATGAAGTGAACCATCAAGTATTTATTGTCAGTGCTTAGAACAAATGCATCCTTGTTTTGCATTGATTGTTTTTTTCTCTGAAGAAGCTGGTGACTGAAGGACTGTACCCAACACAACAAATTTAGGACTAGAATTATGGATATCTTTCTAGCTACTTTAGAGTTTCAAGTAATGCTTATCTTTGCATGTCATTCTAATATGAATGCTAGGATTACTAAGTATGTTAAATTGTGGCATATAAAAAGGTGTACATGTACACTTTTCTGAAATTATTAATTGGAGAGGGGGTAGGTTAGATAACATCTTGCCAGAATTCTATACATATTAATTTAAGTGGCAGATTTTTATGTGAATTATTATCCATCTTAGATTACTTGTTTGGTTTAGGTGGTTTTTTTCATTCCTACATAATTTTCTTACAACGTGTCTCTGATTTTGCTTGATCTCAAGGCCTGATACTTTGGATGACTCCATTATTGGGACTGCCAATAGCTGTTCAAATTATCAAATTCATATTTTGTAAAGCAATTCCACTGTTTTAACTACTCTGTTTGAAATGAGGTTGCATTTTTGTCTTACCACATGAACAGAAATGGTACGTGTTTGTGAAATATATATGTCACAGTGGTCCAGGCTCAGAACTGATAATTGAGTAACTTTCCAACAACAGCTTTTTCCGAGTTCAGTTACAGTGACCTTTCCGGCATCATTCTGTGCAGTTCAGTCGAAGGGAACTGGCTATAGCTGCCACTTTCAGCCTTCTCCCAGAGTTTCTCTTCCTCTTGATAGGAGCACACTGTAATTACCTGACCAACCCCACTCATTCTAGGGGCTGTTATTTCTGGTTGTTTTCTGTCAGTATCTTTGAGAAATTCCACCAGTAATTTCTTAGAAAATTTCTTTTCTCTTCTTCTGCATGTTCTCTCTCTCTAAAAGGAAGAACTTTTGTACTGTAAAGAGGATAGGAGAGCCTCCTACAAGTCCTTACAAAAATGACCCTCTAAGATTTCAATGGGTCCCGCTTCCACTTCTCTGCTTAAAAAAGAAAGAATTTTGCGTTCGTTTTGGAGTATAGTGCTTGGGTAGAGATTCCCATGCGCTTCAGTAATTGTCCCTAACATAAGTTTTGGCTTACGAATAGGCTGTTTCTAAAGATGCTTGGTTGAAAGCTTTCACAATTATATTGAAAACCAAAGCAAGCTGAAGTTTAGCTCCTTAACTGCAGTACAGATCCTGTCCCTGAATTGGCAGCCAGAAAGGTCTCCTGAATGAGGTTGGTGTGGAACAAGATGTCATAGTAGGAAATCAAGAGCAGGAGGCAGGAAGGGAATAACTGTAAATGTAAATGCATCTTGATTTTATTATTGTTTTTTATTATTATTTTTCTTCACCTTGCTTGGCAGTTTGGCACCCATAAGAACTTCTTCTTTGCTGTCTTTTTTTATTGAATCTACAGGAATGTTTAGTTCCTATTCCCCAGCTTTTCCTCTTAGCATGTTTGTGAGTTTGCCATTGAGTGAGCAAAATTGCAGTTACTTAAATTAAATGGGACATCTGCTTCTTATCAGCACTTCTTAGACAAGTTGGCTCTTCAGGGAGTAACTGTCTCATTGATGTGACATATCTGGGAAATCTGTCAAAAGGTAACTAGTAGTGTTTAAGGCTATTCATTAATCCTTATGAAATTTGATTAGGTGTCCGTCTAATTCCTAGCAAACCAGAATAAGAAAAATATTGTCCTAATTAGCATCTGTGCTGGTAACCTTCATTAGTTATCTAGTGAAGAAGCAGCTGAATAGACTCACCATATTGATCCATCTCTTTAGTTCGTACTTTTGTCGCATCAAAAAGAGTATCGAAAATTTTGTGTTGCTGCTTACCTCCGATATCCCTGTTGTGGATAGAAATAAAGGACCTGAAGTTTTACGATTTTCAGTTTGTTTTTCCTGCCCCCCGCAAAGAGTGCTAAGTTCACACTTCAAAAATAATTGTCCAAAATTTTCGAAGAGAGTGAGTGTACATGTACTCTTAATGTTTCAGTTTAGGCTCAAAGCATGCAAATATATGCAACCAGTGGGTTTTCTTTGCTGTGGTTAGTCTGTTTTGTTCAGCAGTCTTAGTCAAACAGTCATAAAATTGCACATGGTTGAGAGGAATTTTACCTCGTTTGTGCTCCAAATAAGTTAACAACTGTAAATCTGTTCTTATAATTGAAAGAATCTCATGTTTGAATTACATAATCTTATTTAAAAGGTGATCTGTAAGCAAATACAGTGAATTAGTGAACCTTTTTTTAAGTTGTACATTTTTACATGCCATCTGAATAAATTCGTCTTAAACAGATCACCAGCTAAGATAATATGGGCATTGCCAAATTCAGCAATAATATATTTATCTTAATAAGATTAAGTTTCCGTATTTCAAGACAATCCTTTGTTTGTTGGATGCTGTCCTGGTTTCGGCTGGAATAGAGTTAATTTTCTTCCTAGTAGCAGGCATAGTGCTGTGTTTTGGATTTAGTGAGAGAAAAAACCATGACAGATGCCTTTTGTCTGGGAAAAATATTTTAAACTTAAAAACATTGAATTTAGCTCCATGTAAGGAGATACAAATGTAGTTAAAACACAAAAAGCAAGGGAATGTTATGGAAAACTGGAAAAATTGTGGTAGTTTCTTTGCGGTTGTTTTATCTCTCTAGAGAGAGTTAAGGAAACTGTAACGCAGATAGTGTCCAAGATGCTGTAGAATTGAAGTCACAGAACGTCTCTGACATGCCGGATTCTAAATTGCATCAGAAGTAAGGACTTGGAAGAAGGCTGGTAGTTCAGTTCTATTCAGACTTTAAACTAGTATAACAGAAGCACTCATAATCACTTTCATTTTGGCTAAATACAGGATTAATCCAAGGTTTTACAGTAGCGTTAACTACCAAAATTTGGCTGTGACTACTCTTCTAACATGAGCTGAAGGTAAATATAGCTTGAAAGAAGCTCTAGCTATTTTTTTTGTTGTTGTTGTTATTTCATACACCTTATATGTAGTTGTAGTCACTGTGACAAACAACAAGAAGACATCCTTATGCTCTAAAAGTAGTGAGTGGTCATTTTGTGAGCACTCTTTGTGGTAATTTACTTTATAAGCTGTAATTACAAGCTTCCACAAAGGCTTTAAATTAAGTTGCTGTTCTCCAAGTAATGGCTCTTCTCAATGAGTTCAGTAGATGGTGAATGAGAGGTGGAAGTTTTATATAGCTACCTGCATCATAAGCTGATGGCCAAAGGCTTTCAATATTAAAATATTCTTGTGACTTACCTCTCCTTTTGTTGGATTCTCATCTCCAACTCTTTTTTGGTGAACTTAACAATACTCAGAAGGTGAAATATCCTAATATCCTTAGGCTAAAGAAGTACCTTCCCCCCCCGCCCCCCCCCTTTTTTCTTTTTTTCTTTTCTTTTTTTTTTCCTTTTTTTGCAGGGGTGGTGAAATAACTGTTTTTTAAAATTCCGTTTCCTTATTTGTGACCTCAGGAATAATTTTAGTAGAATTCAAAAACATGTGAAAACCAGACTTCTAAAGCTTTCATGTTGCTGTCATTACAACAGCCACTGCACTGGCTTAGAAGGTGCCATAGCAGGTCTGCATGCCTTGGCATTATCAGGCAAAATTTCCTGAATCTCTTAACCCAAGAAAAAACCCTCACTATTGCCTCACTCTGGCAGTATCATTTCAGTCTCCCAATAGGTATGATGTGGAGCTGAAACACCTCCAAGGCAATGAGATGGAGATCCACTCTGCCGGTCTCCTCTTTGAGCCAATACGTAGCTGAATGTGGCCAAACACCAGGATTTCATTAGTTACCAGATATTAAGGTTTTATAAGCTGAGTAGTTGTAACATTTGTTGTGATGGTACATTTTAAAGTTCAAACGCTCATAACGATCCGTGATGTAACAGAAGATTTTTAAATAAGTTTTTGAATGCGTTTTTCTATCTTTAGATTGTACATTCATGATACGACAGTCGAGAAGTGCAAAGCTTGGCTGTTTGTGCAGATGTATTGCAATGCAGTCATCAGTTGCAGGGCCATGTGATGTCTTCCGTAAAGCTTTTGCCGCACTAATTTTTGCATGGTCCCTCTGCCATCCTCCCTGAAGAAGGATTTTTACAACTTGGTCTACGTGTGTCATTGCATAATGAGAGACTTCTTTTCCAGTGTTAGCAAGATAATCTAATTATGAAGTCCTCCATCTTTGGTGTGAATGAATTATTGCAAGCCTTTGATCTGAGGTACTTACTTCAATACCAGCCCAAGCTGGCAGTTGCCAGCTTTTCTCTGGGATGATGTGTTAATGTATTCAGGAATTTCCCACATGTACCTGCAGTGAGTAATTGTCTTGTTGACTGAGAGACTTGAAGTTCAGCATAAATTTGACATAATATTCACTCTAACATTATTTTTTCCTATTACAGCATAACACTACATATGGTGGCATGTAGTTTTCAGCTATGGCAAAACCATAGTTAAAAACAAAGCTCCTCTTCCAGTTTAATATTTGCACGTCAAACATCCCTTGCTTAACTTGCCTTTTCACTTTTAAAATGAGAATTACATAAGCATCAATTTTCTGAGAGTTAATAAAAGCGTATTATAATGCAAGCATTAGTTATTTTTACTGATAATTTCTTTTAAAATAATTTTTTAAAAAACGTCTTGATAACTAAAACTATATACCTTTTTAAAAAGGAAATAAATATCCTTTCACAGCATTAAGATATTAACCTTGACATTTACTGTTAAACAGAGTCGAAAGCTGGATGTGTATTTTGAATATGAGGAAAAAATAATGAGCAAATCCACTCTGGATAAATCTCTTCTGGACATGATTTCTGACCCAGATGGTGAGTACTTTAAATCTGAACTTGGTATAAAATCTGTTAAGATATACACTAAATCTGTACCTGCTGGGACTTCAGGGTTGGTAAGGAGCTTATGTGCAAGCTGTGCAAGACTTGTAAAGAAAACAGCTTTTTATTGCTTTTTAGTAGCAGTCTAGAGAGTTTAGTATCTCGATTGAGCAATATCCAAAATATTGGCAACTTTTGCAGCTCCACTAAGATCCTTTCCTAACTCCTTGTTTCTGAAGGTCAAAATATTTTAACTTTTGTGCTTCTCCAGTATTTATTAGTATAGCGTGGAATTGTGTGGTCTGAACAATAATGATTCTTTAGAATCCTACTGCATGTTTTATAACACACGCCTACCTCACAAACAGAACGAAAAAGGGCATTTCATAGAGTTTGGTTAAGTCGGGGGTTATAATGTAGGTAGCTCTTGCTTGTGTGAGGAAGAAGATGGATGGGAGAAGGTGGAGGGAACGGAAGCAAGACATAAATTGGCCAGTTCGCTGAGAGACTCACCTGAAGTTTTTCACACCTTGACCCAGCTGTGGGATGTCTGTTTTCATCGCCATACAGAGCAGTGCATCCCAGCTTCTGTTTCGTATATGGTTCATATATAACAAAAGCTTTATACAGTGGGTGATACTCAGATTCTCTAGTAGCAGGAGTCACTAGGGGTCTTTCTGTAAAAGGCTGAGACCAGAATGGGTTCTCAGCTTTTCATAGTATCATAGCATCAACTCTCATTTCAACCTCTCACAACTATGTCACAACCCTCTGACGGATTTTAATATGATCTGATACCAGTTGGCTGGAACAAAATAACCTGCCGAGCAAGATTGTAAAACTTAAGTTATGACCACTGGCCTGTCTGCATATTGGCAAGAATATTGGCAAACCTCAAGCATTTAGAGACCCAGGGTTCCTGCTCTTTTCCCAGTATGCTTTTTAAGAAAATGTTTTGTTACTGCATGCTTATGTGTGTAGTCTTGTAGCTATATAGTGGACATGTGTATGCTTGGAGTTTGTATAATGATTCATATTTATGGAAAAAGTATATATAAATCCTGCTGACTTTTTAAAAAAACCCTTTATTAGTGTCTGTGCTATAGAATCAAAAGGCAGTAGAATAAATAGTACACTGTTGGTAGGAGTCTGAGATAAATTTCACAAACCTCATATTGGATCAAGTGTAGAAACTAACAGACTTTCAGAAAATCTAATGTCAGGCATCAATCTGTAATTCAGTACAGACATTCATTGTTAATATAAAGCTAATATGTATAATCTGTACTTTTATTAAGAATCAATACAAACTAGTCCTCTTCCACGTTCAGAATTAACTGTTCATGTACTATTTTGATTTCAGCTTTTATGTTTGCATGAACAGCTGATACTTAGATATGAAAACAGAAACTATTATGCTTGTTAGTATTTCCTATTGGATCAATTACTTTTTACCTGAATCCACATTTTCTGTGCATTTTTAGATTGCAGTACATGTCAAATTGTTTTCCAAGTTTGATGTATCATATCAACATTCATATTTAAAAAGTTCCTGGGTTTTATGCAAGAGAAAGGTTAGATTTCCAAGCTAGAGTTTTCCTTCATAAGTTAAGTGTCCGGGTGTTCACAGTTACACATTAGCATTTCATATGCGTTGCCTAGGTTTAAGGTAAGTTTGTATAACAAAAGGATTTAAGTTAAATCACAGCAATTATTTCCGGACATGCTATCTTGTAAAACTGGCCAGCTTCCTATTGTGTGATTCACCATGAGATACCAGCAGAAAACGTTTATTTTGAAGGAATAATGCATCAAGCCTTCCAACACTTTCAGCGGTGCACTACTTGTTTGCATTATCTGTGGGATAGTTGTCTTGTGGACAGTGATGTCTGCAGAGCTCTTCCCAAAAGGACTTAGACTTGACCACTTAACAGCTTGAGCCTCATATTTCTTACTATGGTGTACTAATATACCACTCAAGGCTATTAGCTGCCTCGTAGTTCAGTGGATATTATTATACCCTGGAGTAGTGATAAACTGGAGTTACTGGTTTTGCTTTGCTCTAGTAGTTATTCAATAGCCCTAAAGGCTGCCTGATGGGTTTTGAGTAGAAAATAAAATTGTTCTGTTCTAGGTTTAGCATGTTAAGTTTTCTTCAGAACATTTAGCACTCCCCCTCTCCATGCCGTCACAGACTACAACCAAAGAAATAGTGAACATTTTACAGGCAACTGACCTGGGTCTTAGGGCTGTTTATCACAGCTATGACTTACATCAGTAGTATGTCAAGAGTAAAGCACTTTTGCCAAACAAAGTGGTTTTCCTAAGATTCAGTAAAGTATATACAATCACAGATCTTTTTTAAAATTTATTATCTTTCAGTACGATGAACTACCACTTACACTCGTGTGTAAGTGAGACCACTTACACTCCCGTGAGCACAAACCTAGGGGTTTTGTAGACATGATAAATAGGCGCAGCAAGGGAAATGCTGTCGAGTGCCAGTGGATTCCAGTTGAAACTGAAACTTAGTGGTCAGCAAAGTACTAAAACAAGCTATAAACTGGCAAGTTGGAAACCAAGTTTCCAAGTCAGTTACAGAAACTAAAGTCAGTTACACTGTATATTTAGAATGCTTAAGTGCTTTTTTTTACCCAAGTGGACTCCAAAGTGGTGTCTACCTTGAAAGATGGTTTTTGGTTCAGATGATACAAAGTTTCTTCAGTTCTTGATCTTCTGGCTTGCTGGTATTTGGTAAAGGTTAATAAAACTTATTTCCCAGAAGAAAATTGTACCAAGTTGTAAATGTTCATTATGACAGTGCTTACTCTTAACTTCTGCCAAACTAAATATATGCTCACATATAAACAAAAGTTGCAGATTAGGTTAGATGATCCCCTGCTGACATGATCCACATTCCATAGTGGGGGGGGGATCAAAACAAAAAAACAGAAAAAATCATCTTTTTTTCTTACACAGAAGTACAAGAAAGTGCATTTTTATAAAATACTATACTTTAGCTAAAAGTATCAAGCTTCTTAAATTAAGTTTTGGATTACAAATTTGAAATGTTTGTTTTGAGAAGTTATACTTGTGAAATCTTACTTTGAAACGATGGTCTTTACTAATAGTGATTCTATTCTAGAAAAAAGTAGATCGTGTTCAAAATATGATTACAGAGGTTATAGTCTAAGTAACAGAAGGATGGCTACATCATCGTTTTGATCTGGCACAGATGAATTTTGATTGCCATTGATAATGCTGGCCAAGAATTTGTAGCAGCGTTTTTTCTCCAACGAGTGGTGTGACAAAAGGTGATCCAGGAGGTGAAATCCTTCCTGAAGACAAGTTGGAAGTTCAGGATTTTCTTCATGACCAAAAGTTCACATAAGTGCTTTTCCAGCCCTCAGGTGTTTCAGTACAGTCAACCACAGTGCTGCATAAACAAATTGTAGAGCTAAAAAAATAATGTGCTGTGGCTTTTACTTTTACAATTTTTCTTTAGTCTCCTCTTCCATGGATCT